TGAGACCGTCTGTTGGTGCATTTGGACCTGACTTCATCCCCATGGCCAATAACGTACAACCTCATCGAGCCAGGGTTGTTGATATCTACTAAGAGCAGGATAACTTTTTAAAGTGGTGATCCTTAGCAAGCCTTGAGTAGTATAGTTCAGGGCAAAGCTATACTTTATTACACTAGAGTAAACTTTCTTACAAAGTGTGTTTCCATTCTCCATTTATCATTGTTTGAATGTAGCTCTGTTTGTGGAATAACCTGCTTTAATTACAACCAGACTCTCCTCTTCTACGGGGGCGATCGGGTAGCCTAGTGGTTAAAGCGTTCGCTGGTCACGCCGAAGACCCGGGTTCGATTCCCGACATGGGCACAATGTGTGAAGCCCATTTCTGTTGTTCCCCGCCACTCAATCACTCAGTCCACGTGCTTGGGAAACGGAAATAACGTACAAGTCTTTCGGCAGCGTCGTTGCACATACGCACGTCAGTCATAATAGAGTACCATTTACCCGATGTAATGGCCACTTTAGCATCCTATAACTTTGGACTTAATATGTTTCTTGCCATATTAATGTGTAGTGGCCTATTTGTAGTGAAACCTACCTTACTGAACCCCATCAGCTGGATCCATTAGAGGGAGACAAATGAGGATTCTGGTAGAATCGTGATCGAGGCCAAGGTTCAATACTGTTCTGACTTTGAGCTGGTCAGTCCTTTTATCTAAGATCATTGCACTTATATAGCAAAGTACATGCACGTGTGTGTGACTGTTTGTAATAGTGCGGACTTAGCGCAAGCCCACTGAGATACCATGCCATAGTTTTTTACTAAATTAACTGCGACCATTCCTTGTTTTATCCCCTTAATGCCGAGCGCCATGCATGGTAACATCAAGTTCCATCTTTTAATGTGCGTATGTTTTTTGGTATGACGAGGCCAATGGATGGAACCGCCGCCCTTCCGCTCTCCGGGCTGCCGCTCTATACCCTCGACAACGGAGGAGGTCCTTTAGTCATATGAACAAACGCAGTGCTTGTCAATGGACATTGTTTTACGGAGCTTGCTATAAACTGAGGATGGTTGGCTGATCGCGCTCCTGCGGCCGGATTATTGTTCATGGTTTTGTTTTTTTTGTTTAACGCCGCACTCAGCAATATTCCAGCTATATGACGGCGGTCATTGTTCATGTGATGAGCTTCAGGTTTGGTTTCTCAAGACTTATTCATGTGAAGTACCTGAAATATTTCTGTGAAGTAAAACATATGCATTCGAAATGTTTCCCTCTGTGACGTAAAACAAAATACATTCAAAATATGTCTGAGTGTGCCCTAATTTTTCCAGATGCATACGAAATAGTTCTGACTGTGACGTAAAACAATATGCATTCGAAATATTTCTGACTGTGACGAAAAACAATATGCATTCGAAATATTTTGACTGTTAGGTTCAACAATATACATTCAAATATTTGACTGTGACCTAAGACAATACGCATTCGAAATATTTCCGACTTTGATGTTTAACAATATACATTCAAATATTTGACTGTGATGTAGAACAATAAGCATTTGAAATATTTCTGACCGGCGTAAAACAATATTCTTTCTCAAGCGCACGTCTTAATGTTAGTTGTTACCTTCAAACAAGTCTGGTAACTTGTATTAAAATACCACACCGCTTTTATTTAATCCCGACCTCTATCGATGCCAGAAAACCCAGACAACGCACAATGTATCCATCTCTTGAGCATCTGGGGGCACGGGTGGCCCAGTCGTCTAAGGCGCCGCGATTCGCTGTGCAGAGTTGTGTCCCTTGGGCACGCCAGAAACCTATGATTGTGGGTTTGAATCCCGGTTCGCCCAGATTATGTTTCTAGGTTTGTCAGCACCATACCCGTGCTCGTGGGTTTCACCGAAGTGGTAAACGTCTAAGACCTGCATCACTTCGGGCTTTCCTCCCACATTAAGCTGACACGCCGTGATATAACTGGAATACTGTTAAAAGCGGCGTTAAACCCAACTCACTCACTCACTCACTCTTGAGCATCTTGACATACGTATGCTTTTTCTTAATTCTAGAAATGTTATCACACTGTCAAAACTCCTATTTTGTTCATTGCAAATTTCTTTTTTGTAAGGACGTTGAATCTATGATATTTTATATCTTGGTGGAACAACACGTGTTGTATAAGATGAATGTGTTACTATGGCAACTTACTCATTTATGTAGTTTCTGTTTTGTCAGATTTCTATCCTGTGATTGACGTGTATCTGACTCACATTGTTCGTATATATATATATATATATATATATATATATATATATATATATAATGCCAACGCCTGTGAGCAATTAACACAATCAATGCATACATACTCATCGCCAAAGGAAACGCGAATGCCAAACATGTTGGTTAAGACATGAAGACCTAGAAGACCTATTACTCATATTTAAGAGATTTTAGATTGGTTCGATGCACAAACGAACATACTGGTACGTGACTTCATACGAGATGCACTATTTGTCTCGTGCGGGATTAGCGTGTAAAGTTTGGAAATCACGTGCAACATATGGTGATATGGAAACATTGGAAACGTCTCTTCTTAACATACATACTTCTCTATATATTTCTATGGTTCGTGTTTCTTTTGGCGGTGAGTATATTTTACATGAAGAAAGGGTATGCACTCGTGACCTTTAACCTCCATCGGTCATGGGTTCGAAATCAATATTTGTCCCGGGAGCACGGGTGGTCCTGTCGTCTGAGGCGCCGCGATTCGCTGTGCAGAGTTGCGTCCATTGGGCACGCCAGAAACCTATGATTGTGGGTTCGAATCCCGGTTCACCCCGATTATGTTTCTAGGTTTGTCAGCACCATACCCTTGCTCGTGGGTTTCACTGAAGTGGTAAAACGTCTGGGACCTGCATCACTTCGGGCTTTCTTCCCACATTAAGCTGACACGGCGCGATATAACTGGAATACTGTTTAAAGCGGCGTTAAACCCAGCTCACTCACTCAATATTTGTCCCGATTACGATCCCTGGTGTGTCAGCATCAGACCTGTGTTTGCAGAGTTTACCGCGGGATCAAGTGGGCAGGCCTGCCTTGGTTGATGCATGGCATCGTATCCCAACTGCGTACATCGAAGCTAATGATGACAATCACTGGATCGTCTGGTCCAGACTCAACTTTTTACAGACCGCCTGACGGGGTAGAATAGGACTTCAGCAACCCATGCATGTCTTAAGAGGCGACTAACAGGATCAGGTGGTCAGGCTCGCTGACTTGGTTGATGCATGTCATCGTATCCCAATTGCGTGGATCGATGCTCATGATGTCAATCACTGGATTGTCTGGTCCAGACCCGATTATTTACAGACCGCCGTCATATAGCTGGAATATTGCTGAGTGCGGCGTTAAACAAAATACAAACAGACAAACAGACCGCCTGAATATTTATGCGGCAAACAAACAAATAGTGTTCACCGAAATGAACTAGAGGTGAGGTGAAATGGGGTTCAACGTCGCGTTCAAGGTTACTGCACTTATACAGCGACGTGTGTGTGTGCGTGCGTGCGTGCGTGCGTGCGTGCGTGCGCGTGCGTGTGTGTGTGCTTGTACTACTCCGGAATAATGTCGAGTTCATAGAACTAGCCAACTGAGATACCATGCTGCAGTTTAACATGAATACCCCACTCAGACACAGTATACTGACTCCGGGCCGACCAGTCCTTGTTTTAGCCCCTTAATGCCGAGCACCATGCAGGGTAACAAGTACCATCTTTTTAAAGTCTTTTTCTATGACGCGGCCCGGAGGAGGGCACGGGTGGCCCAGTCGTCTAAGGAACCGCGATTCGCTGTGCAGAGTTGCGACCCTTGGGCACGCCAGAGACCTATGATTGTGGGTTCGAATCCCAGTTCGCCCCGATTTTGTTTCCAGGTTTGTCAGCACCATACCCGTGCTCCGGGTAAACGTCCGAGACCTGTATCACTTCGGGCTTTCCTCCCACATTAAGCTGACACGCCGTGAAATAACTGGAATAATGTTAAAAGCGGCCTTAAACCCAACTCATTCACTCGAACCCCAGACCTTCCGCTCTCCCGGCCGACGCTCTACCACTAGACCATGGGGGCGGTCCTACTCTCATCAGAGGGACTGCATATATCCCTTTTCTTATCAAACCCTGATGCGGATTCCCAGGCAAAACATGCGTTAAAGCCAACTCACGTGTGTATCTTAAGTTGAAAAGCTACTATATATTTAGTGCTGTATTTTCACTGCCGGGCAAAAGAAAATATACACCCATGTTTGAAGGTGGCTGAACATGAAACAAACAAGAAACGGTTATTCATTTGTGATGATGATGTGGATGTGACGTGTTTGATACGGGCATTACAGTTGTGTTTCGGACCTTACGTCTGCATTGTTTCAGCGCCTGTTTTCAGCCAAATAACATTTTGATAACGTTTGTAATTTTGTACTCAAAACCAATTTTCAAGTGTATACTTTTATTTTGCCGGGCAGTTTGAAGATACAAAATCATAGACACTTTGGTTTCCCGAAAAAAGATCGAGAAGATCAGTAAGTAAATACAAAATAAATATAACATTTGTCTCCTCTGGTCAAATAATACCTTTCTTTCATAACGTGAACTACAAAGTTGCCATTTTAACTCTAGGGGCGGTCGGGTAGACCAGTGGTTAAAGCGTTCGCTCGTCATCCCGAAGACCCGGGTTCGATTCCCCACATGGGTACAATGTGTGAAACCCATTTCTGGTTCCCCCCCGCCGCCGTGATATTGCTGGAATATTGCCAAAAGCGGCGTAAAACCATACTCACTCACTCACTAACTCATTTTAACTCTGGGCTGTGTCATTCATTATCTTCTGAAGTTTATCACTCGGCGAGACAAACCCACTAGTAAACACGGTGCAGACATCCCTATGTATATGACAGCGATATCAACAAGGACAACGGACTTCCAAGCGAACATTTCATTTGAACACCTAATAGTTTAACTATTTTATTGCAAAATGTATGTCTAAATGTTTCAAATTTTAATATTACGTTAATATTAAGTAGGTATACAGTTTGATGTCGAGAAACATTTAAATAAGGGTCACGAATACCGCCAGATTGTGTTGTGTAGTGTGGGTCGTGTGAACTAGTGAAACTAGTTCTGATGTTGCTGCATTTACTGGCCGAGATGAAGTACAGCACCGAGACATTCAGGACACTATGCGAAACGGTTGGACCTGCACGTTCCTGAAAAACAAAATGTACAAGGTAGAAAATACACCGCGTGTCTGAACTACCTTCAATACAAACTTGATGCTATATTCAGATTGGGCCACCCGTATCCCCATGGCTTTTAATTTTCTGTGGAAGTCACAGAATGAATCGATGGTTACAAGCGATGATAATTTACTTCTGTTTACAAGGGATGATAGATTTTACTTCTGGTTACAAGCGGTTATACATTTCCTTTTGTTACTATGGATGATATATTTACTTTTGGTTACAAGCGGTGATAATTTACTTCTGTTTACAAGGGATGATATATTTACTTCTGGTTACAAGCGGTGATACATTTACTTTTGTTACTATGGATGATATATTAACTTTTGGTTACAAGCGGTGATAATTTACTTCTGTTTACAAGGGATAATATATTTACTTCTGGTTACAAGCGGTGATAACTAACTTTTGTTACTGGAGATGATATATTTACTTTTGGTTACAAGTTGTGATATATTTACTTTTGTTACTAGGGATGATATATTTGTTTCAAGAGGTGACGTATTAACATCTGTTTACTGATGATGATGTACTTACTTATAGTTACAATAGGTGACATATTTACTGTTGGTTATAGGGAGGTATACTTCTGGTGACAAGTGGTGATATGTTACATCTGTTTAACGGGGATGATATACTAGTATTTACTTATAGTTACAATAGGTGACATATTTACTTCTGGTTATAGGGAGGTATACTTCTGGTGACAAGTGGTGATATGTTACATCTGTTTAATGGGGATGATATACTAGTATTTACTTATAGTTACAATAGGTGACATATTTACTTCTGGTTATAGGGAGGTATACTTCTGGTGACAAGTAGTGATATATTACATCTGTTTAATGGGGATGATATACTTGTATTTACTTATAGTTACAATAGGTGACATATTTACTGTTGGTTATAGGGAGGTATACTTCTGGTGACAAGTAGTGATATATTACATCTGTTTAATGGGGATGATATACTTGTATTTACTTATACTTACAATAGGTGACATATTTACTGTTGGTTATAGGGAGGTATACTTCTGGTGACAAGTAGTGATATATTACATCTGTTTAATGGGGATGATATACTTGTATTTACTTATAGTTACAATAGGTGACATATTTACTGTTGGTTATAGGGAGGTATACTTCTGGTGACAAGTAGTGATATATTACATCTGTTTAATGGGGATGATATACTTGTATTTACTTATAGTTACAATAGGTGACATATTTACTGTTGGTTATAGGGAGGTATACTTCTGGTGACAAGTGGTGATATGTTACATCTGTTTAATGGGGATGATATACTAGTATTTACTTATAGTTACAATAGGTGACATATTTACTGTTGGTTATAGGGAGGTATACTTCTGGTGACAAGTGGTGATATAGTACATCTGTTTAATGGGGATGATATACTTGTATTTACTTATGGTAACAATAGGTGACATATTTACTTCTGGTTATAGGGAGGTATACTTCTGGTGACAAGTGGTGATATAGTCCATCTATTAATGGGGATGATATACTTGTATTTACTTATAGTTACAATAGGTGACATATTTACTGTTGGTTATAGGGAGGTATACTTCTGGTGACAAGTGGTGATATAGTACATCTGTTTAATGGGGATGATATACTTGTATTTACTTATGGTAACAATAGGTGACATATTTACTTCTGGTTATAGGGAGGTATACTTCTGGTGACAAGTGGTGATATAGTCCATCTATTAATGGGGATGATATACTTGTATTTACTTATAGTTACAATAGGTGACATATTTACTGTTGGTTATAGGGAGGTATACTTCTGGTGACAAGTGTTGATATGGTACATCTGTTTAATGGGGATGATATACTTGTATTTACTTATGGTAACAATAGGTGACATATTTACTTCTGGTTATAGGGAGGTATACTTCTGGTGACAAGTGGTGATATAGTCCATCTATTAATGGGGATGATATACTAGTATTTACTTATGGTTACAATAGGTGACATATTTACTGTTGGTTACAGAGATAATATATTTTATTCTGGTTACAAGTAGTGTCATATTTACTTGGGGTGATATATTTACTTCTGGTTATGAGGAATGATACATTTACTTCTGGTTACAAGTTGCGAATTTAATTTTGCCTCTTAGGAGGGATGCATTTAGCCCTGGGCGGAATGATATTAATAGTTTGTAGTTACTGGGGGTGATCAATTTAACTTTCTGTCGAGATGTAATTACCAAATTTTGCTCTCTATTTGGGCGACATAGTTAGCCAATTTTACTTTCTTAGTAGTCACCGCTAGTTCCTAGAAAGACGTGGGCCTGATACATACCTTTCCTGTGGGTGTTATACTGAGGGTGACAGTTACCTCTAGACCCCAAGGGAGCATATGGGTCGTCCGATCCACAGTAAAGACCATTGAGACAGCGACACTCATGCACCTTCCAAGGTGTCTGACCCCAGGATTCTATTCCGGAGTACATCTGGCAATCTGAGAAAACACACTCCAGATCAATCATAATACGTGGATGTAACTTATACGTTCTGGATTAATTTAGGTTAACCGCAAATTCGGGTAACAGTTGTGTATATATAATCAAGTTAATGGCGCGTCTAAATTATTATTTTTGAAATTATTAGTTCTCATTATAAGCAGAACTGATTTAACATAGATAGATGGGCATATAACTGTACCGGGGGAGTTACAGTCATTTGAGGGGGCGGTCGGGTAGCCTAGTGGTTAAAGCGTTCGCTCCTCACGCCGAAGACCCGGGTTCGATTCCCGACATGGGTACAATGTGTGAAGCCCATTTCTGGTGTCCCCCGCCGTGATATTGCTGGAATATTGCTAAAAGCGGCGTAAAACCATACTCACTCACTCATTTTAGAACACTATACTGAGGGGCAAAGAAACTATACCTCTCATTTGATACCATATGTTTGATTTTCAGTTGAAAATATCTTAAGTTAGAGAGATTATATCCAAACAACGAACTGTACTGGCGCTCAGCCAGTACTCAAAGAATACTTCTACACGGTTTTACTTTTAAATATGATTTGATTTACAATTTTTAACAATTGAAAAGACAAATTCTCATGATAACAAACTGGATGGGTAAGGAATAGAATTTACGGATCTCAACTTCTTTATTAGGAGGAAAACAAAGTTACGGATGTCAACATCTTTATTATGAGGAAAACAAAGTTATGGATCTCAACTTTTTTATTATGAGGAAAACAAAGTTACGGATGTCAACTTCTTTATTATGAGGAAAACAAAGTTACGGATGTCAACTTCTTTATTATGAGGAAAACAAAGTTACGGATGTCAACTTCTTTATTATGAGGAAAACAAAGTTACGGATGTCAAGTTCTTTATTGAGGAAAACAAAGTTATGAATCTCATCTTCTTTATTGAGGAAAACAAAGTTATGGATCTCAACTTCTTTATTAGGAGGAAAACAAAGTTATGGATCTCAACTTCTTTATTGAGGAAAATAAAGTTATGGATCTCATCTTCTTTATTGAGGAAAACAAAGTTATGGATCTCAACTTCTTTATTAGGAGGAAAACAAAGTTATGGATGTCAACTTCTTTATTGTGAGGAAAACAAAGTTATGGATGTCAACTTCTTTATTGAGGAAAACAAAGTTATGGATCTCATCTTCTTTATTGAGGAAAACAAAGTTATGGATCTCAACTTCTTTATTAGGAGGAAAACAAAGTTATGGATCTCAACTTTTTTATTATGAGGAAAACAAAGTTATGGATGTCAGCTTCTTTATTAGGAGGAAAACAAAGTTATGGATCTCAACTTTTTTATTATGAGGAAAACAAAATTATGGATGTCAACTTCTTCATTGAGGAAAACAAAGTTATGGATCTCATCTTCTTTATTGAGGAAAACAAAGTTACGGATGTCAGCTTCTTTATTATGAGGAAAACAAAGTTACGGATGTCAAGTTCTTTATTGTGAGGAAAACAAAGTTACGGATGTCAACTTCTTTAACATGAGGAAAACAAAGTTACGGATGTCAACTTCTTTATTGTGAGGAAAACAAAGTTATGGATGTCAACTTCTTTATTGAGGAAAACAAAGTTATGGATCTCATCTTCTTTATTGAGGAAAACAAAGTTATGGATCTCAACTTCTTTATTAGGAGGAAAACAAAGTTATGGATGTCAACTTCTTTATTAGGAGGAAAGCAAAGTTATGGATGTCAACTTCTTTATTGAGGAAAACAAAGTTATGGATGTCAACTTCTAAAATATGATAGCGGTCATGTGGTTGCAATTTTATTTCATACCACATTTTTTTTCTCGCAACATTACCCAGCCATATTACTTTTTACAAACTGTTGCAGGAATGAGTGATGGTTAAATAGACATGATCAAATTTAGCATCAATCGTTTACCTCTCAGTTTAGGTTGTCCAGGTAACGAGAGTCTAAAGAGGCTTTGGTGATGACCTATACGACACATACCTTCGGAGAGGTATATACAAATGTGAGTACATTTGGCAATCAAAAAAACAAAACAACCCCCCCCCCCAAAAAAAAACAAAACAACAACAACAACAAAAAAACAAATGTGAGTACACACACACTTCAAAAAAAGAAACGCACATGTAGTATGCAGTTCATTGAACCCGACCACAAAAACTCCGGTATATAAATTGGATATATGTTATTGGAAATTGTTGGTGGCCTGATATTCGACAAACGGTGCGTCAAAACGCAGCCATTGTAGATTTGCAATGGCTTAAATGGCATTGTGTTCACACTTGTTCAAAAATGTCATCGAGGAAAACAGTAAAGCAAAATGCACGTGCAGGTAATGGCATTCGTAACTCGTGGTAGTGGCTATAAAAAGACAAGCATAAGCCAATAACCTGTCATTCAATTGTCAACATTTTCAAGTTCGAAAATGCCGAGACTCAGCGCTGCCGATCGGGACATCGCCATAGGATGTATTCAAAGAGGGGAATCGCAGACTTCTGTTGCACGCTACTTCACCGTCCACCACAGCACCATTTGCCGCATTTGGGACCGATACACACAGTTTAATTCCACTGCAGAATGCCCGAGAACCGGCCGGCCGGGGGGGGGGGGGGGGGGGGGGGGGGCATATCCTACACTACGAGATCTGTCTTAGTTGTGGTTCAGGGACATTTGACAGCCAATCGCTCATGAATCAAATTCTTCAACCTCGCCTTCTTCAATCATTGACCGCCAGAGGGAGATGTTTCAACAGGACAACGCTCCACCGCACACAGCTCGTGTCACGGTAGACTACCTTCATAATGCCAACATCAACGCCTTGTCCTGGCCGTCGAGATCTCTAGATCTCAACCAAATCGAACACCCCTGAGATGAACTCGATCGACGTGTACGTCAACGTCAGAACACGCCGCAGACACTCCCACAACTGGCCAACGCGCTACAAGCAGAATGGCGCAGAATTCTGCAGGACAGACTTCGTACACTTACCCAGTCAGTGCCGAGGAGATGCAGAGCCGTGATTGCTGCCCGGGGCGGTCACATGAGATACTGAGTTCAGCGGAACCTTGTGGCCTTATGTGACATGGCAATGAACAGTTTTCAATGCCTTTGTACAACGGCAACCTGTGACTATCGAGCTCCAATATTTCATATTGGTATCTATGATATTAAATTATATATAATATATCGACTTTATTAGGTACAATACATTTACTAAACATCTACCAGTGCGTTTCTTATTTTGAAGAGTGTATAAGATGTGCAATACACGAGATGTATGCCTCTATCTGATTCAGGAAAACATTGCCCAATTGTTTATGGTGCGGATTCGCTAACGTGGGTTCGAATCCCAGATTCGCCCTAATTGTGATCTCGTGAGTTTCGCCAAAGTGAGGTGAGGTGAGGTGAAATTGGGTTTAACGTCGCGTCCAAGATTATTGCACTTATATAGCGACGTGCATGCACGTGTATGTGTGTGTGTGGCTGCTTGTACTAGTCCGGACTGATGCCGATTTATAGTGCTAGCTCACTGAGATACCATGCCGCAGTTTAACATGAATACCCCACTCAGACACAGTATACTGACTCCAAGCCGACCAGTCCTTGTTTTAGCCCCTTAATGCCGAGCGCCAGACAGGGTAACAACAAGTACAATCTTTTAACGTCTTTTTGTATGACGCGGCCCGGGATCGAACCCTGGACCTTCCACTCTCCGGGCGGACGCTCTACCACAAGACCACGGAGGCGGCCTTCGCCAAAGTGAACTAAACATTCCAGGGGTTCGTTTGAAAGTGCCTACCTACACCGACAGACTTCAGCGGAGCGCAGTAGCCCTGGGATTTGCGGCTCCCCAAGCAGCACATGTCCCGGGGACAGTCCCTACCCACAGAGCACGGCACCTGCCCAGTAACCGCGTGCAGCACCAACACCTGGGACAGAAAGAACCAAATTCTGCTCACATACACTTTCGTTTTTCACTTTTCAGATTGTCACCTACTCTTAAACACAGTTTGATGATGTTTGTAGGGGCTATTTCATTAACTATATTCCGTGTTCAGCAACAGCTCTGAAGATGTTATCGGGGTACTATAGATAGAAATAGATAGGAATAATCAACATACCCATGTTGGCAATAGCTTTTACCAGAAACATATATTTTGCTGCGTTCTAATTGGCGTCGATCAATTTTGCCTTTGGGAAGCATCCTTTAGATTCTGAATAAACTGCAGGGCTAAAGTGAGTGAGTGAGTTTGATTTTACGCCGCTTTTAGCAATATTCCAGCAATATCACGGCAGGGGGACACCAGAAATGGGCTTCACATATTGTACCCATGTCGGGAATCGAACCCGGGGTCTTCAGCGTGATGAGCGAACGCTTTAACCACCAGGCTACCCGACTGCCCCCAGGGCTAAAGAAAGTATACACCTATGTTTGATGGTGGCTAAATGCACCAAGACATGGTAATTCGATGGTAATGTATGTTATATGGGTAACATGATTTTGGTTTGAACCTTTAGTTTGAAGGCCGCCTCCGTGGTCTTGTGGTAGAGCGTCCGTCCGGAGAGCGGAAGGTCCGGGTTTCGATACCCGGCCGCGTCATACCAAAACACGTTAAAAGATGGTACTTGTTCTTACCCTGTCTTGCGCTCGACATTAAAGGGCTAAGACAAGAACTGGTCGGCTCGGAGTCAGTATACTGTGTCTGAGTGGGGTATTCATGTTAAACTGCGGCATGGTATCTCAGTGAGCTAGCACTACAAATCGGCATCAGTCCGGACTAGTACAAGCAGCCACACACACACACACACGTGCATGCACGTCGCTATATAAGTGCAATAATCTTAGACGCGACGTTAAACCCAATTTCACCTCACCTCACCTCACCTCACCTTTAGTTTGAAGTGTTTCGGAGACTGTTTTCAGCCTAGGAACGATTTTGATTTTTTGGTCAAATCCAACTTTCAAGTGAGTACTTTCTTTTGCCCGGTAGTTTAATTTAGACGAGCAAGCACGGGAAGGCAACATGGAAGTTATATTGCTGTACTGTTAAGTGCATTATGGGGTACAAGTTGTCTTTTAAAATACATTTAATATGGCCAGATTTTGGCATTTTAGAAGATATAGATCAACTACGCATGATTTTATACAGCACAAATATAGTTTTGTGCCAAATTAATGTCCGATAAACGGATTTTTTGTATTCTAGACATAGATACAGTAAACTACGGTTATAACGAACTCAAAGGGACCATTAATTGTAGTTCGTTAAAACCATAGTTCGTTATAAGCATATATACAGCATAGTAACACAGTACTTACAATGGTCCAGTACAAACACTTCATCTTTGTTGTGTGGGGCGTGTCAGCACCACCTCGGCCGTGTCAGTATCACGTGGGGCGTGTCAGCACCACGTCGCTCGTGTCAGCACCTCGTCGCTCGTGTCAGCATCACGTGGGTCGCGCGCAGCAAGCAATTTGTTTGTAGTTAACGTTATCAGTATTCATGTGATAACATTCCATAACTGAATACATAACTTTTTGATGACGTAACTAGAAAATACAGACGATCTAAGATTGTAAAACCTCAGCTTTGGCGGAGATTTATACCATTCATTCACCAGGGACTAACATTATTTTTAGGGCTCCCTGCCTACAAGGCAAGAGCCCTATTGTAATTGTTCGATTTATTATTATTATTATTATTATTATTCTTTATTATTATTATTATTCCGCCGATTTTTGTTCCAATCCGAACTCCAAAACTACTGCTCAGAATCTCTTGAAATTTTGCACAAAGATAGCTTAGCTACTGAAGTTATATCCACAAAAATCTCAAGACTCTAGACTCAAAGACTAAGGGCAGATAACTCAAAACAACTTTAAAAATAGCAATTTCAACAGCTAATATATCCGCCACGAAAGCTCCAAAGACTTCCAAAATTCTTGAGCTGGTGCGGAATCAGATGGCCAACAAATTCTCTACACATTCAATGTAGCGAAATTGCTTCGTTTGGCCTCCAGATCGGATTAAGTGCTTTTGCACTGTTTTTTTAGCAGATATCTCAGTACTCGACTCCCAAAATCTCCTCCGCTCAAACTACCAGCTCAACAGCTTCCAAACTCTCCATACTTTGGCTCCAAGTACCATACTAACAACTTCAAAGAAAACATGTACTTATGTCATATATGTGATATATTTTCCTGATAGCACTTGACCTGGCGATTCCAGAACACTAAACCGTTTGTCTGTAGCTCCATGGACAACGAAACTACAGAGTGTTGAAAACGGCACTCTTTGGCCCAGGTCCATCAACTTGCCAAATAGCACAACTCTAAACACCCGTAACTTAGCTAAAATTGGTTCAATTTCGGCCAAATTTCGTGTGTGTATGTAATGTAGAATGGGGATGTCTGTTATCACGCCCAAGTGTAGCGACATAGGAAATAAGACGACGGAAAGAGATATTATGCATAATTTATGTATAACAACATCTTTCAGCATCTTGCTCCTAACCAGAGCATTCTATAACTGGCAGACTAGGCAATCTTTAGTATTTACATGTGCAATTCGATATTGAAATGCAGTCACAAATCACAAATCCTACATACATCAAACTCTTATTTCACATGTTCTGGAAATGTCATTTAGTGGGGATCACATGGGTGCTTTACGAACTCTTCAAATATTTTTTAAAGTAAAAGACACTGAAAGAAGCAGCCATAGAATGACAAATAAGTCCCGTTCACTGCACTTCAATCGCCACCAATACTGTGTCCTCTTTGCGCTATACGCTACATTATTGTCGATAGACCAGTGGTATAGGTTTATTTATATAACAAACTACAGTCTGCAGTACGTGAGCTTTGTGTATAGTTTTCGGCTGTGGACTACAGAAATCAGTTACCAGGGTCAATGAGATACAGTGTTTATACAGCTGATGGATAACGCAAGCAGAAACGGACTATAGAAATACATTTACGTTTGCGCTCGCATGTTCAATGGTTCTGCATAGAAAACAGTGTAGCTGAGAGTAAATAACGACATCGTGTGTTTGTTATGTGAAAACTAATATCTGCATCAATTGGCGCGAATTCACAATACACATTGTCAACAGAGTTAAGCAAAGAACTGCGCATACATGTGTATTGGCCTCACAGCGTGTCAGCGTACCTCAGTCCCATGCGGCCGGGTCGGTCGGTCGGTCGGTCGGGTGCATATTGGAACGTGATCCACGTGCACGGCAATGGAGAGCGAGGCAGTGGTAGCGCTATATCGGATTACCTAAGCTTCAGGCAGCGGGGTCATCCGAGAGCCAAGTGTGGGCTCCTCCAGTCAAAACGGACCCTACCTCCCCACCCCAGAGAAACACCTCCTTCATAAATCTTTTTCGGACTGCGGGATTTACGGTAGGTTTGTGATTGAAAGTTTGATATTCCTGAACCCTCCGATTAATTTACTCGTACTTGTCATAATTGTATTACCGCAACTTCCAAGTATAGTAACCGACGGGTGATATGTTAACTTCATGTTTCGATAGCAGCGATTTCTATAGTCTGTTTCATTATGGATTTTCTTCACGCTGTTTTCAGTAGTCTCTGCCAGCAGAAAGCACGCATTTTGTACGTTTGTGATTTAATATCGCTGAACTTTCCGTTTAATTTACTGGTACTTGTCTTAATTGTATTACCACAATTTCAAGTAATAACAGACCATTTATATGTTCACTTCCTTTCAATAGTAGCGACTTCTATAGTCTGTTTCTGTATAGATTCTCTTCACGCTGTTTGTAATACATTCTGCCAGTGGAAAGTGCACAGTTTCCCGTACTTGTACACTAGATCCGTTCAGTTGCTCCCTGTCTAAAAGGATCGTTGTACAACATGTTTGGTTTTCTTTTTATAAAATGCCTTATTTTCTTTGGAACGGATTTCCGCACTATCAACTTACCTTTTTATAATACGAACCTGTTCATTTTTGATACTTCCATTTTTTCCTGAAAGATCCCAGATATAATGCCAACTTTAAGGAGTATTATTTACCCATATCATTATGGTTTAGAAACCAGTCCCTTTCTCAACCTACTTAAGTGCATTGATCTCCATTGTGTTTACAGCTAATCTTCTTTTAAACTTTGATCACAAACGCTTGGAACACTTGGGGTTTTCTTAGCTGATTGGTTGAATTGCTTCAACAAGGAGATGACAAGAGGTGACTGACATGTGTTCTTACTGTTAGATAATGTCCCAAGCCATCTCATCCCTGAGCACGGGTCAAATTACAAGATCCATTTCCTGCATATTACAATAACAAGTCACCAACACCTCTGCATGCTGGTATCTTCCATACTTAACAGGTACAGGGCCAAAATGGGAATTTTTTTCTTGGTCAAAACGGACAGGTGAAATATCCTATTGATAATCCAGATCATATTATAGTCGTGCACAGTATAGCACATATCCTTCCGCATATCCGAATGCTTTTATATAACAACAGGAGAAAATGCCTTAATGGTAATCAATTAGTTTTATTAAGAACTCAGTTTCAATGGTTTTTAGTACTCTGTATAACCAAAGTGCAATTTTACAAAAGTACATCTATGAATAGAACAGGATCCGCTTCCACAATTCTTACACAGCGGGAGCCCGACATCGCTGCTTGCAGCTATATTTTATGTATATTATTCTAGCCACGACTTCGCCGTCATTCGGGACTTCTCGGCTTTTTCCGTTACCTTCAGAAGACACCAGGCAGCAAGGGAGTGATAGATCGATAAACATAAATGTGAGTTGGAAGGGAAACAAAATGGGTTTTGAATGAACTATTCAAAATTGTCAATACTACCGATTGGCACGAGCCAAGTGCAACTTTTAAAACATTAATGAACAAGAATGCAACGATACCCACAAAGATGAAATGTAACATTTTGTCAATATTTGAACATGTGCATTTTAGCGAGTATCAATGCTGGTTTGCAAGTCAAAGCGAAATGATGTCCCATTGCGTTTTGATATGACGTCACAAACTGATACCATTACGTTATCTGAACAATAGCTTGTCTCTGTGTAGGTTGACATTTCATAATTTATATCATAGTTTTTCTCTTACAATCATATCGAGTAATATGAATAACTACCTCCGGAAGCTCCAGGGTTTTTAATTATCTGATAATATGTATTTATCTATGATTGTATCGGCAATATTTCAGCCATATCGTGACGAGAAGTTTTACATTATTAATACATATATTTAGACTAAATAAAACCTGACATCGATGGACTGTAAAATAACTAGAATATCACAGATTAATTTTTAAAACTAGCATACAACTATAAAAATATACTACTATATGGAACAATACAATATAAAAAAAGGGCTATAGATCGCCAGCAACTGAAGGTAGTTCAGCATACTAGAGGCCATAGGGGATATACAGTACCTTTGCTACCTGCATGGACCCCAGCAGGATTTACATCATCCCTTCAGTTGTTGGCGATGGCTGACTAATTTAGCCAAACATTAAAACAACACATATGCTACGATTACAAAACGTGGCAAAAATAAATATACTTTGAAGGATGTGGTCTTACGTACCCTCTGAGGGGGACAAGCTCTTTTGAGAATGGCAAGGGACACTCGTTGAGGAAGGACAGATACTCCTTACTACGTTTTCCTTATATCAGCCGTTGTTTTTTTTCGAATATATTTCTTAACGTCTTTTTTTACTTATAAAGCAGCAAAATCTCTTCACTTGTACACTGCAGACGTAATTCAAAATTAACATACCGTTTTTATTACTTTCAACAATATCAGTAATGGTACTCTCTTGTCACTGGATCTTCTGGTTCATCGATCACTTGATTGTCTGGTTTGTTTGAGTACTGCTGTGCTGCGTCAGGAAAGAACTAATTACTTTTTTATGCAAATTGTGTGAATTGCCGGCGCTATACCCTTTTCGCGGATACCTGGTGTCATCGCTGATTTTCCATTCATATAATTTCCACAGCTATTTGCCCGTTACGCTAAGTAGGGGGCGGTCGGTTAGCCTTGTGGTTAAAGCGTTCGCTCGTCACGCCGAAGACCCGGGTTCGAATCCCGACATGGGTACAAAGCGTGAAGCCCATTTCTGGTGTCCCCCGCCGTGATATTGCTGGAATATTGCTAAAATTTAAGCGGCGTAAAACCAATCTCACTCACCCACTTTACGCCAAGTGGAATCTGTTTCGGCAGAAAATCTAGGCTGGTTGTTCTCTTGCATTGACAACTTTATATTTTCTGACAAAATGTAGAGAAGGAAGGCTTCATGATCTTAAGTGGAGACACCTCAATTACTCTATTTTTGACGTCAAGAACACTGGATAACGTCAATTATTTGCGACAATACGTTCATGTGACGTTATGTTAGAATTAAGTTACAAATATTTAGGCTGGTTGGTACGGCATGTTTTCTA